CCCCCCCCCCCCCCCCCCCCCCAAAAGCCACCCTGTCCAAAACAAGCTTCCGCTCATGTTTTAAATTTGATAGCCCCGGTCGTGCATCTGCTACCGCCCCCTCACGCACCCCACCCTTCCCTGGAATGCGTGTTATTAAGCTGTTCATTAAGAGAGTGCGCACATCAGCTTTTAATCACAAGCCAAACGCAGATGCCTAACAGGACGCTCCAGCCTTCCCACTCTCCTGGCAGGGGAGCCTCGCCTCGCCTCGCCTCGCCGCGTTATCGTGCGCCGTGCCCAGCGAGTGTGTCCGGCGCCCCAGCCGCCATCGTGTCTCTCTGGGGCCTCTTTAGGGGGCCGTGTGATCTGCAGCGACGTGCCGACGCGCTGAAACACCCTGCCGTCTGGGGGTCGCAGGTCCTACGAGCCGCACTCGGGGCCGTGGCCCGTCACGCTCCGTCACACCGGCGGATCCTTCGTCATCCTGTTTCCATGGCAACATGACTTTTAAAATTGCGTGACAGGTATATCAACGCAGTATTGTACACAAAACCAACAAAAAGCAACGGACTCCGTTCTCGGTTAAATCTTTTAAAGCACCTTATATTGATGCATGTGTACATATGTTTCCTGCAGGGTGATGCAGCTTCTCTCTGCGTCGGCCTCCAGCAAACATCTTGCCAATAAGAATTCCCGCGTGAGTGTAAACTCTGTGCTGCCCATGGAGGCTGTCCACTGAGAATGTCGGACCGGTTTGGCCGCCTTATGGCTTCAGGCGGCTGTTAGGAACTGTTGCTTGCCTATTATGGCGCGTTCCTGAAGCCTGGCCCGTTTAACCGGGTCTAGAACCGTGCCATACATCATCTCACGAGCCCCGTTAAGGCCAACAGTGCTGGGTGACGGGGGCAGGCTCGGGGAGCTGAGGTCGCTGTTCATTTGCAGATACCCAGGGGGTCGGAAAAAGCATGGGACCGGGTGAGGGCGTTGGTGGGGCGTGTTAGCACCTGTCGAGCTCCTGGCAGGATGGCGAGGCACCTGGGTGCAGGGCCGGCCGTAACCGCGCCTTCAGGGAGGGGGGACAGAGAGCGGCTTATCTGCTGCGCAAATCAGGTGTGTGACAATGTGACTGTCCTGTTTTATGATAAGAATGGTCTCCAGCTGAGGTTGAAGACTTTCCTGGCTACTTCACGCAAATGAAATAGACCTATTCATCCTGTTTCACATAAGCACTTCCACCTCTTTTCATTTATATGGATAAATCTGACTTTAAATGAGGTAGTATTTTATATCCTGTATAGCCTGTGTGATGTCATATTTAGGCCTGATTCCTATCTTCCTGGAGTCTTTTGTATTGAGCCCCTGGCTTTAGGGTCCAAGAGCAGGTGCCCCCTAAGACACTGAAGCCTGTCAGTGCTTGCAGCGGCCTCCGAGAGGAGCTGAGCCTCTCCACATAGTCTTACTAACAGGTGGATACTTTCACGCTGAAGAACCACCAATGGTAACAGATGGTGCGCTTTAGCTTTCTGCTAATCCAGTTTGAACTTTTGCTCTCTGTAGCATATAACGTGTGTTTTATCGGTGTTCTGAAGATGGTGTAGTCTTCCTGTTTTTTACGTTCGCATTCAGGACAGTTATGGATCTGTTTTTGTATTTCACTGCTGGTGAAGTTGCAGCGTATATCATCCTCTCTACTGGATCGAATATGGTTTGCGTCTGACGGAATTCAGAAAGGGTCCCATGGTAACCCTTTGCTGGTTGTTTCATCATGCGGGTCACAGAGTAGGCGAGCCCTCCTGCTAACATGTGATGTATTTGTATGCGTGGGGCAGTGTGGAGTCTGTGCAGACTCATGTACGAGTCAGAGTGAGTCTTGGCACAGTAATGAGGACGGGGGACCATGTATATGAAAAGGTACTGGATCCCTACTCAAGATTAGCTCCTGCTCAGAACCGGGCTGGGTTGGTCCTGAGAGCCCAATTAAGGAATTCTGCACTGGGTCCTTGGAAAGGCTTTGTAGCGCAGTGTTTCCCAACCCAGTCCTCAGGGACCTCCAGACAATCCATGTTTTTGAGCAAAAATGTAGTCAGGCAGGCAAAATCATGGACTGTCCGGGGGTCCCTGAGGACCGGGTTGGGAAACACTGGGGTAGAGCCTCAGGGTGAACCTTGAGACCCCCCCCCCCCCCCGATTGAGAGAGGTGAGACCCCAATCCTGTAAGTCTCAAGCTGACCTGCTGCAATTTCCGTTGAGATGTTACCAGTCGAGCAAGCAGGCTGACTCAACACACTGCAAGTGGCAAGGACGGCGAGAGGAAGCCGGTGGCGGCTGTCGGGCAGTGCCAAGCCGCATCGCCCCCTGCAGGCCAGTGCCGCCATCATCCCCTCTTTCTCAGCTGTGATTTTCCCACGTCGTTATTAGAAACCTGCCCCCGGGGCGTCATGTTAACGCCCCCGCTTTGATGGAGCCCTAGACATTTTCCAGAGAGGGACAAGGAGTGGGGGCTGCTGCCGCAGTGTCTCACCTTCCGGAACATTCTGCATGCGCTCCGCCCTCGGGTCGGCCACTCATTACATGGGGCAGCCTCAACCTTCCAGTATGCATGATAAAACGAGAAGCAAGTCTGCGCTTAATTAAGTGGCAGTGTGTCAACACGTGCAGTTATTTAACGCGAGTGCAGGAGTGTTCAGGCACTGATTAGCAGACCCATCAGCTGCTGCAGAGCAAATCGCCGCTGCGGTGTTCTGGGCGGGGGGGAGCTGCCTCTGTCCCGTGATTTTTACCCGCTTGCAGAGAGTACGAGGCAGGATACTCACAGTGCACAGTGTTCACTGGCTATTTCTCCGTTTTACAAGGGAGGGCAAACAGATAAGAAAAATTAGGAGGCAGCATTTCGTCACATCAGGTGTCTCTAAGATGGTGTGTGACATGGGGGACAGTGTCATGCACCCTCTGACCCGTAAACTGCAACCATCCCGCAGAGCCAGTGTGGGTCCAGGCTGTACCCCACCCCCCAGACCACTTACCCCTTTAATGACACCAGCTTCATGTGACCTCGGCAGCTGTTCGTTCTGCTCTGACATCTCCTTTTTGCCCGATCCTTTTTTCCAGAGTGTTCTGTGACTGAGCCTTGGGGAGTAATAGCACGCTGACCATGGGAATCGTTCCCAGTACCTTTAAGTATCACCCAGTGTTTCCCCTCCCTGCTTCATGGCTCTTTGTAGCACCTGTGGCTCCAGAAGCACAGGGCATTGTGGGTAACTGTGACATCACTGTCCTGTCAGTTTCTGGGAAGCTGTCTGTGCTGAACATGGCAGCGAGATGCGGCCTTAAACTGGCAAAGAAAAGAAAGACATCAAAGAGGCAGAGGAAAGGGGGCTGAAGGGAAACAAAAAAAGAGGTGAGAGGGTGGTAGGACAGACAGCATAGACAGAAAGGAGGGAGAGAAAAGAGAAAGAGGGCGCAGACTAAAAGAATAAAGAGAATGGAGAGAGAAAGGAGGGGGAGGAAAGAGAATGGAGAGATAGAAAGGAGGGAAAGGAAAGAGAATGGAGAGTTAGAAAGGAGGGAGAGGAAAGTGAAAGGGAGAGGACAAAAAGTAAAGAGAATGGAGATATAGAAAGAAGGGAGAGAAAAGAATGGAGAGAAGGAAAGGAGGGTGAGGAAAGAGAAAGAGGGATGGAGAGACAGAAAGGAGGGAGAGGAAAGAGAATGGAGAGATAGAAAGGAGGGAGAGTGTGCGGGGCTGTATGCTGCGAGCACCATACCTGGTCGGAGCCGACCTGCTGCGGGAAGCTTGTCGTTCCACGTTACGGCCAGGCTGGGGCGTAATGTATGGAACTTTTCTGTCGCTGCAGGTGGCCCACTGTGATGAAGCCAAGGACACTGTGCTGGGGCCCAAAAGTCACCCCTCCGCAGAGCAGGTCCACAACGGGGAGTTGGTTGGCCACCAGGGCGGCGCCTCATCCAAGCAGGACAGGAGCGCCCCCGAGAACAGCACCGACCGCCCCGAGGGCCTTCCGGATCCGAGCTCCTCTAGGAGGGGCCGCCCAGACTCCTCCGTGGAGAACGGACTGCTGGGCCTCATGGACGAGCGCGAGCAGGATGCGGAGCGGGACAGGGAGCAGGCTCCTCCCACACCTCGCAAGAGGCGCGGCAGGCGGAAACTTGAGCACCCAGAGAAACGTGAGTCTCCCTGCCGTCCTGGTGGAGCTGTGTGGAGGTGGGGGTGGGAGTAGGGGGGGGCTCTCAGAAATTTCTGATAGTGGTTTTTCGGCACAGTAACCAGTGACGTTTCTGACCTTTCAGATTCTGATGGTGTTAATATGATAATCATGTTTTTCCTTTTCATTGCTTCATCATAACGAAAATCATTAAATATGAAATAAGCCAACATATTATTACGATATTTATAACATTATTTTCTGTTAAATGGATTCATTCATCTGGTTTATCCAACATGGATTTTTTTTAGCAATTTAGACTGATTACTTGTTAATCTATAGAGGTTATAGTTTAGGGGATGTTCCCTTGTCAGTTTGCAAACTTATATGGAGAAAAATATTCTGCCCTGTAACCGTTTAGTATATTCATATGAATGTGAAATCTGATCAAACTGAGCTGTAAAAATCGGGGAGTAATTCATAAAAGACAGGGACCGGGTCCGTTGTTTGTAAAAATCGGGGAGTAATTCATAAATGACAGGGACCAGGTCCGTTGTTTGACCTGCATTCTACGAAACAAACTTTATTATATTTTTTTCAAGGAATATTATATTTTATTGATCAATTTGCAAACCGCTCGGTAAGTCTGGGTATGTTCTTGCTGGGTAGTTTATTAAGACTCTCCAAGTGCTCTCTTGCTCTTTAAGACATTGGCCTGCAAAGTCGGTAGTTGTGGTTTCGTCCCATTTGGGGGTCTGAAGTGTTTCCCCCTGGGATCAATAAAAGTTCGCCCTATAGCTGGGGAAAATTATAATTGCTTGTGGCTGGTTTGTGGCTCTGTTGGTTAGGATGCCATGCCTATCTTTGGAAGGTCACCGGTTCAAATCCCAGGGTCAGCAGCTGGACTCCGTACACCTTCACTGCGTTGAGGGTTTATGGGAAACTGTAACCGTTGGGGGGGGTGGAACTTCCTTTTCATAGAAATGTCACACTTCAGGCAGCCGCTTCAGCGAGCTGAACACGTGGCTGACTGAACACACCCAGGAAAACGTGTGTCAGGTGTCGATACTGAGATTATGATCATACTGACGACTTTCACGGCTACCAACAAAGCACAGACTGCTTATTCTTTAGGCAGAGCCAAGGCTCATTTTACTGTGGAAATGCCCTAACTGGCACTGCATTAGCACAGAGGACATGAGGAGCAAATCCTACAGCCAGCAATCCGCTCTTTGGCCTTTTTCAGGGTACAGATTTTTAACAGAATAACATCAAGTGCAATTTTCTGTCAAAGTCACAAGCTGGTCTTGTGCTGTCGTTTCTATTAATGTTGCGCCGGCTCCCCCCAAACCTGAGCGGCCATAATCCAACACAGTTTGCAGATTTTCCTGCTCAGACACACCTCCTAAACTTGTTAATTAGCTGATTAAAATGTCTTTGTGCAGGAAAATCGGCAAACTGTGTTGGATTCTGGCTCTCCAGGACCAGAACTGAGGAACTCTGACGTAGTGTACGAAATCCGACAGCCATGTAAAAACAGAATTCCCCGTTTAAGATAACATCCACATTGACTGTCTTGTAGCAATTAGGCAGATATTTGACATGTCGGGCATGTGCTAATTAAAAGCAACATGACATGAACTAAAGCTCTCGTCTAGCTGAAATGCTTCAGACCCCTCTGTCCCCAGGTGTATGTAGTGACTGGTTTATTCCAGGATTAGTCAGATTTATGCTCTGTGCTAACACATGCAGCATGTCCGTGCTGTATCCCGCATGGTTGTTACAGACAGGCATAATTGGCGACTTCTTAAGGAATTCCTCGTAAATTTGCCGTATGAAACGAGCTTAAGGTCACACGGTGTCTCTGTGTACGTGGCTGTTATGGCTGGGCCATGTATACTGGGAAGTGCCGTCACTCCCTGGTTGGTCATTGTCCACTGTGGGATGCATAATGATTTATTTCAATTAACTTTACATTAATATAGCTTCTTTCCCAATCTGAATGGCCCAGCGTGGAATGTGACCTTGTAGGACACAAGATGTTGGATTAAGGTGTGGAAGATTTGCTAGGGCAATCGATTAGGTGACATAAAGACACTCACAGATGGACAGGCAGGTAGACAGATAGGGAGACAGACAGGCAGGAAGGGAGATAGAGAGACAGACGGAGACCGAGCAGTCAGACAGGCAGTCAGAGATAAACAGATCAGATCACCAGCACAGACGGCCCTGCTAAGATGGGTGAATTTAACTTTTCTATGGTGTTGTGTGTGTGAGCCTGAATGGCTGTGTGATTGGAGGAAATCCCCCATTGCGGTCAGACTATAACCTGCAGTGAAACGAAAGGTGGTGAACTCTCAAAATTAGTGATAGCAGAAAAGAATAAAACAGTGAAAATAACAATATAATGTGTATGTTGTAAAATTCCAGGAAATTAGAGTACTGCAAGTTATACTGAGAAAAAGGAAAGCCGGAGCTAAGGTTCACTGGAGGAATCCCGACGTACAGGCGTTTCACAAAAAGACCCCAATTACAGCAGCTGGCACTGCAGTAAGGGCGCCCTAATCCACGGGGACAGGCGTGCCGTGGGGGCTGGCTCTCAGGCCGGCGTCTGACCCAGCCCCAGGAGCCGTGCCGAGATGTTGGTGCTCTCCTGTAGACAGGCCGCTGGGACCGACTCTCTCTGATCTTTGGCTCTTTGAATGTACAGTGTGGTGCAAATGGCATCCGTCCTTCCACCAAAATCCCATGCAGCAACTGGGTCACCTAATGCCTTCAGCCACGCTGATGGGTCTCTGTGGGCCCGACCGATAGCAGCCAGCCGTCTGCATACAGGACGTCCAATTATGCTGTGTTTTGTCATGCGGTACTATGAGTATAACTCATGACAAGGTTGTACCTATTGTAGGAAACGTCAGCGCTAAAATCAGTCTGGCATGGTGGTTTCCTCTCATTAGCTTTGCAAATTAACAGGGGCAGATATTTTTAGAGTGCGGTCGTCCGCTCAGTTAATGAATGCTGGCAGTCAGGTGGCAAAGAGACCAGGATAGTTTCGGTTTGAATGATATTCAGGTTGTCTGATGGGTGGAAGAGGAAGAAGATCTTAGAATGTGCTGCAGGATTAAAGTATTAAGGTTTTATCATGTGATGGCTATTGTTTATCTTTATGGATTCTTCTGGGATTTCACTGGTGTTCCGACCGCAGATAAACTGAAAAACTCCAAGGGGTGTTTTACAGTTAGAGCCAGAGTAAATGAAGAGTTAAATGGAGTGAGACTCACTGCGCGTCAGTCCCTGCTCATGCTTTGGGCACAGGTGGGGGACAGGCCTGCTGAGGAGGAGCACTGGCGGGTCCGCCGGGAACGCGGCCCCTAGGCATGCTGGGAATCTGGTGGGGGTGGGAGGCTCGGGCGGTGGTTCTGGCCAACTGGGCCCACTTTAGCTGAGTAGCTCGCACCTGTGGGTGGGGGTCAGGAATGTGCGAGAACATTACTGAGAGCTACAGACAACAGATGGACCTCAGAGTGCCGCTGGGGGCAGGGAGGACGGGCGATTGTTGACTGTTTAGCGTGTTAATGTGGCATCTTTGTTTAATCACGAAGACAAATGTGCATCTTGACACTTTTACATCCAAATGAGCAGATTCCTTTAGCTCGAACAAAAATAGATGTGTGTGAATGTTCACGCCCCCTTACCCCCCCAGGTGTAATTTTTACTGGAAAACCGTCTGTCTACCCGCCTCTGTGCATGTACGTTTGAGTCATAGCGCCACCTGTCTCTGTGTATAAATAAAAATCCTGTTCAGGTTCATTTAAAGTGTTAATGGAGTGTTTGGGGGGGGGGGGGATGGACACACTTGCGCATACCTGCACCGCGGGGGTTTCATGTTGGCGCTCACGTTAGTGACCCTCCAAGTTCAGTGCCAACGCAGTGAAACCTTCTGCCGTTCCCGTCATAAGAACGACGTGTGTGCATGAGCGTGCAAATAAAGTACACGCTTAAGGGGTCATTCGTGTGGCGGGACTGTGACTTCCCGGGTGACAGCTGGGGGGGGGGGCTCCCTGCTCCCTGCTCCAAATGCAGCATACGCTACCCGTTAGTGTCCGCCGGCCAAGCAGAATGGCAACAAAGGGTAAGCGAGATCACAGAAGGCCGTAGATAAATATGTGGCCCTGATTTTCCTAAACTGGACATTAAAGAGATCAGTTACCCCACCCAGGGAATGAAAGGATAAGCAGGCCGCCACCTTGGGTACTGTACTGAGTGGGTTCGTGTCACCTGGCAACCTGCTGGGGGTGAGGGGGGGTTATATGGGTCCGGTGGGTAACTTGTTCTCTTCAGTGTTCAGTTTGTTTATTAGTGGGGGCTGGATAGGGCTGGGGTAAGGGGCGTGGTATAGAGTCGGATGTGAAGACGGACCAAGGCATGGAGGCAGGGCCGCGGAGGCGGGGCCGCGGAGGCGGGGCCGCGGAGGCGGGGCCGCAGAGGCGGGGCCGCAGAGGCGGGGCCGCAGAGGCGGGGCCGCAGAGGCGGGGCGGAGGCAGTTCAGCCTGCAGCCATCCGCAGCACCGTGTTCTGCTTGCTGGTACATTTCCTCTCTGCTCTCTGGCACGTCCTTTGCCGCACTTAGGAGGCCCCGGTTCCGCATGCCGTGGCTGGCAGGCCTCCTCAGAAGCGGCACTGTACCAGAGATCCTGTCTCACTTACGAAGAGCATTAGGAACGAAGCTTGTGAGTTGCTTTTTTTCCATTCGTGGACACCCGCCATTGTTGCCTGAGCAACATTGGCTTTCTTAACCCTTGTAAGGCTTCGGCGTGGATCCTGGTGAGGACCTGCAGTCAGTGCCGACCCGCCATCTCCGCCGGCTGTATAGGGTTTGCAGGGCCTGCGCGGCGGTCTGGCTCAGTGCTAACGCCCGTTCCAATACGCCTTGGCAGCCTTCCCCTACCCTCCCCCCCGTGCCTCATGAGTAGCCCCTGTTTCGGAGGTGGGGGGGGTGGGGGTGAGGCACAGTGCTGCAAA